GCGCCCCCGCCATGGGCCTGCGCCCCCCAATGTGCCTGAGCCCCCCTCAGAAGGGTCTCAGCCCCCTTTACCCCTCCACTGCTCTGAGCCGCGATGTGGGGCCAAGCCTCCCCCCTCCGCCCCGTGGGCCTGAGCCCCTCTTGGCCCCCAACTCCCCCCTGGGTCTGAGCCCCTCTTGGCCCCGTGGGTCTGAGCCCCTTTGCGTGTCCGAGACCCCTCCCCGGCCCCAGGGGCTGGAGCTCCAGGGTGGGCATCACGTTTGGGGCCTGACGGTGCCCCACGGGGACATCGCAACCCCCGGGGCTGGGCATCACCCTTGTGGCATTTGGGAACTGTGGTGCTGCTGCGGGCAAGGTGTTGCCCAGCCCAGGGAACCATGGGGAGGATGAGTGCGGCGGGGAGGAAGGTCAGGGAAGGCACTGGGAGCCGTGCCCTGAGTTGAGCTGAGGTCTCCCCGCCAGCCGTGCGGGGAAGGGGTGACACGGGAACCACGCAGCGAGGACAGGGTTAAGGACAGGTTCATCCCCAGCGTGGGACAGGGTGACCTTGCTTTGGGAGAGGCTGAAAGCACAAGCTGCTGAGCGGCTTTTCTTCCCCCTCCCCGCCGCCTGCAGTTCACATCCAGACCTCCCGGGCTCTCATGGTGATTTCTCTCCTCCTGGGCTTCTTCGGCATCATTGTGAGCGTGGTGGGCATGAAATGCACCAAAGTTGGCGAAGAGGATCCCGTCACCAAGAGCCGCATCGCTGTTGCCGGTGGCATCCTCTTCATCCTCTCTGGTAAGGCGGCTCCAGCCCTTGCACCTCTCTGATGTAGGCGACGTCAAACGCCTTTTAAAAGCTGTTTGGTGGAAGAAAGGGCAAGGAGCTGGTTTGGTGATGGACCCCGTGTTGCTGATGTTCAGTGGTTGACCTCCAGGTCTGTGCACGTTGGCGGCCGTGTCCTTGTACGCAGCGCAGGTGACCTACGAGTTCTTCAGAGAGAGCACCGTCCCCATCAACGCCAGGTGAGAGCCCAGCTCGGGGGATGCTCCTTATCTGAATCCCAGCTTGTCCCTGCGCTTCCCATGGGATCTTCCCTTGCCGGTTTGGGCGATGCACGGGGTCACGGGCAGATGTGCCGCACGGGGTGGGACCTGTGCCACCCCACAGCTGCCACGTTGCCGATGTCCCCGATGCTAAGCTTTAGCCGGTGCCACCGCTGACTTTGCGCTGGGACAGAGTCGGAGCGCTCACGCGGAGTTTCAGCCCAAGGGAGGATTGAAGCACGGGGAAACCTGGTAGCTGGATCCGGCCAGCGTGAAAGATGGGGATGGCCAGAGAGGAGAAGAACCAACATCTGCCCTGACGTCGCCCGTAGCCTCGTCAGGCCTTCGAGCATCCTTGTGTCCATGGGGTCCTCATCGCAGTTTGCACCTCTGCCTTTTCTGCCCCCCTCCCTGATGCTCCCCTTTCTCTCTCACCGCAGGTACGAATTCGGCTCGGCTCTCTTCATCGGCTGGGGGGCCGCCAGCCTCACCGTGCTGGGGGGCTCCCTCCTGTGCTGCTCCTGCCCCGCCAAGGAGCGGCGAGGACAGCAGTACTACCGGCAGTCGCAGCCTTCGACGGCTCGGGAGTACGTCTGATCCCTAACCCTGCCCTCCTGCCGCCCAGCGCCTCCCTCCCCTCCCAAAACCAGGCAAGACCCCGGCGCTCCCAGCCCGCGTGCTCCTGGATGCCCCATGAGACCGTTCTCCTCCTCATCTTCCAGGTTTCAGCGCCGTTTGCAGCGCCAGCCTCTAAAACAGGGTTTTTTTGGGGCCGTGGCTCCCGTATCCGTCGTTGCCAGGCTCCCCCCAGCCAGGCACCCCGCGGGGTGGCCGGGACTGTGGGTGGCTGGACCGCGTCCGTCCGATGCCGGGCCCGCGGGGGTGTGCCGCACAGAAGCGCCTTGTGCTGCCACCAGCCCCCTGCACCCTGCGGCCCTGTTTTGGGGAGCAAGCAGGGAGCGAAGCCGGCGCGTGGTTTTCCCGGGATGAAGCTACTGCCTACCTCCCTCAGACCCAGCCCAAGCCGGGGCTCGAGCATCCCTGCGCCCCGCTTTCGGCAGCGGGACGCTTTCTCGAGGCAAGCCCCCCGCCTCATGGCTACCCAAAAGCAACATTTTTTTATATTATCATTAATTCGTGATTCGAGCAGATGAGGAATTAGCAAGCACCCGGTTGTTGGCGCTCCAGCTGAGCTCTGCCAGCTCAAATCTGCCCTGGGCTTATTTCTCACCAGGCACAAGTATGTGGCCTTGTTAAGCAGAAGAATAAATGGCGTTGGGCAAATTAAAGCAGGCAAAAAGGGGGCTTTGAACACAAAGCAGCGGTTTGTTTTTATTTTTGGTGCCCAGTGCAGCTATTTCGGGATGGACAGACCCGTGAATTTTGATGCCTCCCCACCGGGTCCAAATCCTTCTTGCCCCGACGGGAGCCCCTGGAGCGGGCGGTGAAGTCTTCAAACGCCGGCGTGCTAATCGCCTCCACCTCCTCGTGCCTCGGCGCCACCGCTACTAACTGCTGGGCAAGCGCCCTAGCTCCGGTCTCATCCGTAAATCCCCCCAAACCCCCCCGACCTCCATCCATCCGTCCACGTCGCGTGTGCTATGCCAGCTAACCTGCAGGAAAAACCGGTGGAAATGATCCAAAGAGCTTGATTATATATTTTTTTATTCTTCTCCTTCTTTTTTAATCCCAATTAGCTGAAATAGCTGATTTTTTTTAAATTTCATTTCCCTCTCTCGTATTTCATTTTCCTCTCTCTTATTTTATTTCCCTCTATTTTATTTCATTTCCCTCTATTTTATTGTATTTTGCTCTATTTGATTTTATTTTACTCTACTTTGATTTTATGCCCGTGCGCTGCTTTGGGCCCTGCTCTGTGCCGGAGGGGAAGCGATGCGATTTCAGCCCGTAGCCTGGCTTCACCCATCAGGGGCTTGGTTGGCTGAACCCATGGGGTTCCCCTCCAAAAATACACCCCAAAAGCTACTGCAGTGAGGATTGAAAAGGAAACGCGTGCTTTTAAAGGAAAAAAAAATCAATCAAAAAGGCGTTTTTTGGTTTTTTTTTTATCAAGAGAGCAGCGTTGTGTAGAAGAATGTTTTTATTCTTTTAATATAAAATTGCATTCACTTTTCTATGGGATGCGTGGCCGTGGGAATGGGACGGGTTGGGATTTTTAAATGCATTTTTTTGCTGATTGTTTGTACTAAAAAATTGTGACTCAGTGGTATTAAAATATTTCCGATCACGGGCATCTTTCTCAAATCATCTCTTTGTTCTCCTCGCTTCCAAATCTGGGCCAGTCCCGTGCAAGCGCCTCCTTTGCTGGGTCGAAGCAACTTCTGCAGCATGGGCCGAGCAGGAGGTTCTCCCCCGTGCCGAACGGGTTTTGCCCTCCTGGGCAAGTGCTAGCCAAATATCTCGAGTTTGTTGCCATGTGTCGCTCTCGAAGGAGGGGATGCGGCCTTAAAAATTGCTTCGTTTAAGGCTAAGCCCGTGGAAAAGCCCGGCTGCCCCACGCAGCAGGGTTGCACCCGTGCTTGCAGCCACCGCTCGCTCCCTCCGCAGGGCTCTTCCCAAGGCTGCGATGCCACCAGCCCCCTCCTCTTATTGCCCCTCTGATGGACCCGCAAAGCTGGGCTCGCCCTTATGTTCTCCCATTTTCCATGAATTCAGAGCTGGCTTGTGCTCAATTGGGCGCTTTGCTCATTTAAGCTGAATTTTTGCTTTCCCCAGGGAGGGGCTGGACCCCCCCCCGTGATGCTGTGCCTGGTTTTCCTCGGGGGATGAGGCTTTCCATTCAGGTTTTTGCACAGCCAGGGGCTTATCTCAGCATCCTCAGCCTGCCCGTGGCGCCTGGTCCACCAACACCCCCCATCCCACCTCCGACAGCAGGGATTCAGGGGCCTCGGTGGCTCCCGTGACATCTCCGCGGGTCACCCGAGGGCTCCCCGGGGATGGGCGCCGGGCTGGAAGCACATCGGAGATGGGGGGGGGGGGGGGGGGAAAAAAAGG